CCACCACACCCGGCTAATTTTTTGTATTTTTAGTAGAAATGGGGTTTCACCGTGTTAGCCAGGATGGTCTCGATCTCCTGACCTCCTCGTGATCCGCCCACCTTAGTCTCCCAAAGTGCTGGGATTACAGGCATGAGCCAACGTGTTGAGCCTTTTTTTTTTTTTTTTTTTTAAGACAGGGTCTTGTTCTGTGGCATAGTCATGGCTTACTACAGCCTTGACCTCCTGGGCTCAGGCAATCCTCCTGCTTCATCCTGCCGTGTAGCTGGGAACATAGATGCACGCCACCACACCTGGCTAATTTTAAAATTTTTTTTGTTTAGAGACAGTGTCTCACTTTGTTGCCCAGGCTGGTCTCGAACTCCTGGGCTCAAGTGATCCTCCTGTCTCGACCTCCCAAAGTCCTGGGATTACAGGTATGAGCCATCGCACCCGGCCCAAACAAAATTACTTAATGCTTTTCTATTGACTGCACAAAACTCAGCCTCTTTCGCGTGACATTCAAGGTACTTCAAAAATTAGCCAAACCTTATTTTGGTTTTCCAGCCACATCATCTCCCTTATTCTACTCTACCCTCCCTCTCACTCTGATTTTTATCAGCCATAAATTTTAGTCAAATGAAGCCATTTCTCAGATATGTGAGGCTTTCATGTTTCTTTGCCAGCTGGAAAGAACTTTCTCTTGCAGTTCACCTCTAGGGTTCTACTTATCCTTCACCGCCCACAATCAAATCACCTCTGGGCGTCTCCTGTGACTCTTTCAATGACATTTTGTTACGTTTCTTTTTCATTATGATTGGTTCTGCTAGATTGTAACCTCCTTGAAAGTTAAGATTTATGTCTTATTCACCTAGGTTTATCTAGCACTTACCACAGTGTACCCAGCTCAGAGCCACATATTAAGTGCCAATTTCACGTGGAATCAGGGCAGTTTTGTTATCATAGATAGACTGGGGTCATTATGCCACCATCAGTGGCACTAACAGACTTCATGAAGGAACCATTCCAAAGGTACGTGGTAACTTTTTCTATGACTGCTTTACCAAGACAAAACATTTCAACTCCAAACTGCCTTTTAACTTAATCCTTAAAAGCTGTAATCTTTTGGAGTTCTTTCCTTGATCAGTTTTTAAAGGTTCATAGCCATATTCATGTAGATGTTTCATATATCATTTGGGCATTAAAACTATACTGGCTGGATGCAGTGGCTCATGCCTGTAATCCCAGCAACTTGAGAGGCTGAGGCAGGTGGATCACCTGAGGCCAGGAGTTTGAGACCAGCCTGTCCAACATGGTGAAACCCCATCTCTACTAAAAATTAAAAAAAAAAAATTAGCCGGGCGTGATGGTAGACCACTGTAATCCCAGATACTTGAGAGGCTGAGGCAAGAGAAATCACTTGAACCTGGGAAGTGGAGGTTGCAGTGAGCTGAGATCATGATTGCGCCATTGCACTCCAGCTTGGGTGACAAGAACGAGACTCCATCTCCAAGAAAACAAAAACAAAAAACTATACTACTGCTTAAATTTCAGAAAGATGATGCTTTATGTTTGTAGAAATTACCTTAATGCTTTCCTTTCTTTCTTTATTAGGGAATTCCGAAATGACTTTTTAGAACTTCTCAGGAGACGCTTTGGTAAATATTTTAAGTATTGTGCAAATAATAACTTTTTAAATCGCATAATCTTCTGAGGATCATCAGTGTCGTATTTTGTTCTCAGGCACTAAAAGGGTCCACAACAACATTGTCTACAATGAATACATCAGCCACCGAGAGCACATCCATATGAATGCAACTCAGTGGGAAACTCTGACTGATTTTACTAAGTGGCTGGGCAGAGAAGGTAAGAATGAGATTTCAAAGTTGGTTTTTCTTTCCCATTTCTAATCTTTGTAGGATGAGATGTTTGGGATAAGAAAAGAAAAAAAATTGGGTCAATGTTTTGCTTATTCATCATGTTACTTGATTCCATTTTGGGAGCATAATTTCTGCCTTAAGTTAATAGAACATCATATAACCATTGGATATTAAATACTTAGGTAGAATTGAATAAACACTATGCAAGATAATACAGTTGTCTCTTGGTATCCATTGGGGATTGGGTCCAGGACCCCTTGCTGATAACCAGAATTCACAGATACTCAAGTCCCTTATATAAAATAAAATGATATAGTACTTGCGTATAACCTATATACATCCTCCCTCGTACTTTAAATCATCTCTCGATTTCTTGCAGTATTTAATACAATGTAAATAGTTTTTATACTCTATTGTTAGGGAAAAATGAGAAGGAAAAAATGTCTGTGCATGTTCAGTACAGATGCAACCATTCGTTTTTCTTTTTTTGAATATTTCTCACCCACAGTTGGTTGAATCCATATATAGTATCTAAATTTCATTAAATATAAATATGGAAAATCCCATTTGCTGCATGAATTT